CACGCGCGTCAGTGCCAGCGGCGGGTCGCGCGCGACCGCGCGCGCCGCCGCGCTCGCATCTCCGCCCGCCCGACGGGGGCCCAGGCGGACATCGTGGGATTTTCTTGCGCCCGCAACCCGTTCAGAGTAATTGTGGGGAAAAAACATGTAAAATTGATGTCGTTCAGGTCTTCTTGGCGCGCCTCCTGGCGCGCTGGGTCGGCGATTTGTTCTGGGGCCCAGTCGCGGCGCGGCGTGCTCGGCGTGGGGCGCAGCGACGCAGGTCTGGCGCATCATGACTGGTAGGTGGTCCTTGTCTCCTTCCGCTGCGCCCATGTCGCCCGTCGCGGCGACGCCCGCCACCGCGCCCGCGTCGCTGGCGGGGTTGACCGCGTAGTCGACGGGCTCCTTCTCGTCGCCCTTCTTGTCGGCATATGTAGGCGCCCTGCGCTGCATTGCTGCTCGAATTCGATTTGCCCCCCCCCGTAGTTCCCCATTGAATCCGCGACGCGTCTCCCGCCCGCGCCGCCGGCGTCGACCGCGATGAGGTCGATGCCGAACTTGACGCTCGCATTGCTGAAATCTGTCCAAAACTGTTCAGTCTTCTCACCCCCTGAATGCCCGCGGGCGGCGCGCGCGACCGCCGCCCGTCTCCGCGGGCCCGGCGCGGCTGCGCGCGCGACTGGCAGTCTTGGGCTTTGGCGTAGAACTGTGGATTGGTCGGGGCGCGCGTAGCTCTCTGACCTGTTCTTCTCCGCGCATGGCAAGTCGAGGTTCGCATGTAGCGAAAAGCCTCGGTTGTTGCCGTCGCCCCAGCATGAAATTACGCGGCGCCGCGCATTCCGATTGCGCCCCCCAGCAGTCGGGCCCCGCGCGCGTCGACGAGGCGGGCGCCCATGTTCTTCAGCTGGTGGCCGAGGACCTCGATCATCGATATTTTCCCGTGATGTCCCCTTCATGTGCTGGATGGTGAAGCTTCGCATATTGAAGGTCGCGGTGGCATGCGTGACAGCGGCTTCCTTTCTGGCTTGCTCCTGCCGCGGCTCGCTTATGCGTGGCAGCACCTGTGGGCGCGCCTGCGCTATGGCCATGTTCGGTGTAGTAGGGGCATGCCCTTCGGGTGTCGCCGTGCGCTTGAGACGTGGTCAGCGTGGAGTTGGGTGACCCTGGAGGCTAACTGGCGTAGCTGGGCAGTGAGGGCGACGAGGTCGTGGCTGCTGCGCGGCATGCGTTTGCCCCTGGCACGTCCAATGGCAACTGTTGAATCGGCGTGGGCCGTCGCGCACGCCGGCGCACGGCTGCAACTCCAAGCGTTAGACAATGCGAGAATCGTTAACTTTTATGTAGTTGACACAACCCTGTCTGTCAGTCGAGGTGGGATTCGCAACTTTGGCTGCCCCGTCCCCGAGATAGGCGAAGCCGTCCTCGTCCTCGATTGTGATCACCAGAGCCCGCGCGTAGTTCGTGGAATCGTCCTCGTGGGCGCCATCAGTGATCGGTCACTCCATGCGCTGGCAGCGGCGAGCTCCAGTACCATGATGGCTGCTGGGCGGAAGCTGTCTGGCTCGCGTGAGTCAGCGAAGTCGGTTGCAAGGCGGGGTTGGGCGGTGTGTCTGCGTGCGTAGGCGATCGGTTCTGTCATGTTGGACGTGGATCGAAACGCTTCTCTCGCTGGGCGCCCCTTTGCGCTGTCCGCCGGCGCGCGGCCCTCTCGCTCGGAGCAGGTCCCCTCGTCATTTAACATCCGTCGCTGGTCGACGTACTCGGTTGCGGCCGCCATAGCTTGTCCTTCGCCACGGGCCCGCGACGCGTTGCCTCCGCCAACGCGGCGCCTTTGCCGCGCCCGTCGGAGAGCGGTTGCGCGTTCGTCGAGGTCGGGGCCCGTATACCGCAGCCTCCTCCACGTCTCGTTCGCCAGGTCGCACCCGCGCCCCATCCATTGCCCGCGCTGGCGTCGCGGCGCATCGCGGCGCCGTCGCAAATGTTTCTGGCAATGGAAGCGGCCGTCCTGCATTCGCCACGTCGTTCATGTTTCCATCGCCCCGAAAGCGGAAGCTGCCTGGCAGCGCGCGCCGTCTGAACGGCTCCGTGGCAGGTCCGCGCGGTAGGCAGGGGCCCCCTGGTCTGCCCGCGCGAATTTTGCCCCCCGTCTGTCGGAAGTCAGGGTCGCCCCGCTGCGGCGAGTCATGAGGGCCTGGGCCCTCCCTCCGCAAAAAGTGGCGCTCCATACTCGCCGCGCGCAGAGTGGCCTGTGATTGGTTAAACGCCGCTTCGGAACCGTCGGTCGGATTCCACGCCGCCCCCGCCGACGTCGGCTGCGCCGTCACTCATGGCCAAATCGGCGGGCTTGCATGCGTTGGTTGTTAACGGCAATATATGATGCGGCTAGCTGAGGCCGGCCCTAGCCATCCTGGTCCCTCGCGCGCCTGAGCTCCTCGTTGCTAGCGCAGGGCGTTCCCGCGTAGGTGGTAGGGGTGATCCTCTGCCAGGCGCGCCGATGAACCCTCGCAACAGGCTGGTGGCCTTCGGCGCCAGGTCTTCCGTCGCGGCGATGCCGTCGCCTCTTTTCGCGCTCGGGACGGGGCGCCGACGTCGATGCCGATGACCTCGGTCGGAGGGCTCGACTGCCCTGGCAGCGTGGACTCTGTGGACCATGCTATGGGCGCAAGGCAAATCCTGCTCGTCGTTGGGCCGTTGCGCCGCGGATGGTTTAGTCGGAACTCTCGGTGGTCTCGTCGGCGCGGGGGGGGGAGTGCAACCCTGGCTCCGGCACTTCAGGTTGCGATGCAATCACTCCGAATATGTCAGCCTCCCTGGCCATCTCGTCGCTCTGGCTCTCGGTGGGCCGTCTTTCCCCATCTCCCACCTGGCTGATGGCTCGTCGTGGCCGGCGGGGATGCCCTTGCTGGGGGCCTGCTCGACGGCACATCCATGTGGTCGAGGCGCTATTGCGCCACTGCTGCGTCGTGGCGGGCTAGGTGGCAGTCGTAAATTGCTTCCTCTGCGTGCTTCTCGTGCATCTCCTCCAGGTTCCTTCACTCGCCGCCCTGCCGGCGGCAAGTCTGTATCTCGTGCTGGGCGGCATTCGCGCGCTCTGCTGTGCCAACTTCGGCCCTGCATCCCTGGCTACACCTGCCCCTCGGCCCGCGGAACCCTGTAGTGCGCCTGGCGCCCGTCTTCGCTCAGATCGGCCATCGCGTTCTGTAGGATGCCGTCTTGGTGCTGCGCCTGCCCTGCGCCCCTCGTTTTCTCCAGGCGCTCGACGTCGTGGACAGCGCGTTGGCATTCCCCGCGGGCGCCGCATATGGTTGCAACCGCGTGCCCCTGCTGCACTCGTAGCTCCCCGCGTTCCGTTTGCATTCAACGCTCTTCCTTCGCCATCCAATTGCGGGTGATCGCGTTGTCGTCGTGCACCTTGACCTTTGCTTATGTGGCATGTCTGCGCGCCGCCAATAGTTGTTGCCCCGTGGTGACGCGGCCCTGGTTATGTCGATGAGAAATTGCCGCGCTTCTCCGAACTCCCTCTGCAGATGGACGGTCGGTTCGTAGGCGCGAACTGCCTTGGGGGATGCACTGTCAGCCTAGCGCCCGCACCCTGCACTACAGAGTGAGCAACCGTCGTCTTGGCGGTGAAGTGGGTGTCGTGGGTCTCGCTCGTGAGGTCCGCGTGATAGTGCTTGGCCTCTGCTGTTTCGCTATGTTGCTGTTTGTTCGGCATGTTCCTGAGCTGCTTCGGGCGTCCGCGCGCTGTCGACGGAGTCGCCTATGCCAGGCGGGCGATCTAGACCTGGATATTGACGTGGGTGTAAGCGTGGCCCCTCGATGGCGGCGAGATGGAAACCAAAAAGGTTCAGGCTGCAGATGTCGGCGTACATCGCGGGCCTGATGTGGCCGCGCTTGGCCGACGCCGCGAAAACCTGAGAGCCTGTCCCTGGGGATGGGCGGGCTATCGGGCGAACGCGGCTCCCCTCCTCCTCCTCCTCCTCCTCCTCCTCCTCCTCCTCCTCCTCCTCCGCTCCTCCTCCGCTCCTCCTCCTCCTCCTCCTCCTCCTCCTCCTCCTCCTCCTCTTACATCTTACCTGGCTGCGAACGAAGTTCCAATGAGGGCCTCCGGAACAGGGAGGGAACATTCTCAAGGCCGCCTACATCAGAGAGATATCTATATATTCGAGCTAATGACGGAGGTTCCATCCCACCGCCAGCAACCCGGTAGGAGGCGACCCTGAGGATTCAGACTCAGCCAAGCCAAGCCTGCAGGTCTGGGGAAAGCTTCCCCGCTGAGAGACGGGAGAGCACTCTATTCCCATGGGCCGCCCCCTCCTCCTCCTCCTCCTCCTCCTCCTCCTCCTCCTCCTCCTCCTCCTTCACCTCCTCTCCCTCCTCCTCCTCCTCCTCTTCCGTTGCTTCTCCTCTTCCTTCTTTACTCCTCCCCTTCCCCGTGTACTCCTCTCCATACCCCCCTCTTCATCCTCTTCCAACTCCTCCTCCTCCTCCTTCTCCTCCGCCTCCCACCTCTCCTCCGCCCCCTCCTCCTCCTACTACTCCTCCGCCTCCTCCTCCTCCTTCTCCTCCTCCTCCTCCCCCTCCTCCTCCTCCTCGTCATCCTCCTCCTCACACTCCTTCTCCGCCTCTCCTCCTCCTCCCTCCTCTTCCTCCCCTCCTCCTCCTCTTCCTCTTCCTCCTCCTCCTCCTCCTCTTACTCTCCTCCTACCTCCTCTACTCCTCCTCCTCCTCCTCCTCCTCCCTCCTCCTCCTCCTCCTCCTCCTCCTCCTCCTCCGTCTCCTCCTTCTCGTCCTCCTACTCCTCGCCATGTTCTCCTCCTTCTCCTCCTCCTGTTCCTCATCCTGCCTCCTCCTGCTCTTCCTCCTCCTCCTCCTCCTCCTCCTCCTCCTCCTCCTCCTCCTCTTCCTCCTCGTGCTCCTCCTTCTTCCTCCTCCTCGCCATCTTCTTCTGCCGTCCTGTTCTGGGGCTGAACCCCCATCCTCCGCCCGCCAGGAAGGGGACCCCGGCGGGGTCGCTCGTGGACGCTGAAGCCGCCGCTGATGGCCACCTGCCGACCTTGGGCGGCGGCCGCGCGTCGCCGGATGCCGGAATGCCTGTTCGTCCGAGGAGGAAGCGGTACCGATGCTGCCGCCCTTCCCTCGTTTTCGCCTGTTCGGGTTCTGGGAGGCCCTCCTCAGAAAGGCTGGATTCGGCCTAAGTTCTGGCCAGAGCACATCCCAGGAGAGGTCCGGGGAGTAGCGATATTGGTATCCTTTTGTCCCCTCAAGGGCGGGCGGGCGAACAGCAGCAGCATCAGCAGCTGGAGAACGGGAAGAGCCAGAACGAACGGATCGATGCTCCTCAACGCGTGCGTTAGCACCAGCGTGCTCTCGTCCACGAAAACCTGTTGAGACGGCGCAGACACTGCAATTGAGGAGAGCCGGCACAGGCCAGGGGACTGTGTGCTACAGGTGGGAATGAGCGGGGTAAACGCACACTGAGCTGACAGGCGTCCCGAAGATCATCGGAAAGAGCGGGCATGAACAAGAATGAGGAGGACGAGGCGAACCTGGATGAGCAGCAGAGAAAAGAAAGTAACACGCATGAGAAACGAGAGGACGAGGAGGGGCAGGAAGGACGCTGCGGGGAGGAGACTGGCTGGGGCCTCCAACCAATCTGCTCAACATGTCCTCCTGTGTCTCCCCGCCATGCTCCTCCTCCCTCTTCTTCCCCCTCCCCGTCCCCCTCCTCCGCCTCTCTTATCTACCTTCACGTCCTCCTCCTCGTCCTCCTTGTCCTTGTCCTTCTTTCGCCTTCTACCACCTGCAAGCCCTCTTCAACCTCTCCGTCATCCTCCCGCTCCCCCCAAACAAATCTTCATTCTCTACTTCATCTCCCTCATTCTCCTCGTCGTCCTTCCACGCCCCCCCTCGGACGAACGTGGGCCACAATGTGGACAGTTTGACCGTGCTCTGCCCGTCTGTCTCCCCCTCCTTGTCTTCCTCCTCCCCCATCCCACTCCACAACCTTCTCCTTATCCTCCCGCGCCTCCTCCTCCTTTTCATCCTCCTCCCCCCTCGTCCTCCTCCGCGTCTCTCGTCCCCCTCTGCTTCCTTTTTCCGACGCAGCCCCTATCCGTTAATCGTGTCTACTCCCGCTCTGCCACCTAGCCACCCAATGCCTGGCGCAGGGGCCCACCATTGGCAGCTGCGAATCGCGCGAAACACACGCGACGAACCTGAGGGGCCAGCAAAGGGGTTTGGTTTGGACGCGTGGCTGAGGAGGACGAATAGGGCGGCGAGATCTATACATATCCACTGCTCCTGGCCAGGCCCATCCTGGGCGCAGGAGCGGTGTATATGTCTTCCTGGCCAAGCCAGGAGGGCGTGTACACCGCTGCTGGTTTCAGGATGGGCCTGGTCAGGGAGCAGTGGATATGTATAGATCTCGTCGCCCCGACGAAGACGAATTCTCCGACCCTGTCGGCGTGTGTGACAGGCTTTCGACGCGTTCCCTGTCAAACCGGCGGGCGCCGCGGGGGGACATCGAATCGGGGCGCCACGCCCGGAGATCCCCCAATTGGCAGCGCGGTGCCCCGCATGTCTTGTTCGGACACCGGGGCGGGCCGACATAGAAACGCGGGCACGGCAGAGGACAGAAACAGGCAGGACAGCGAGGAGCCATGGAGCAAGAAGGGGGGGGAGGGAGAACGACAGGAAAAGGCGGACCGGGACGACAGACGGGGGGGCGGGGATACGGGGACGGGAAGCCAGAAAAGAGCGGGGGAGCACGCAACGCACAAGGGCAGGGAAACACAAGAGCAAAGGAAGAACACGGCGAGGGGGAGGAGGAGGAAGGGGAGGGGGAGGAGGAGGAAGAGGAGGAGGAGGACAAAGAACAGGGGAGGAGAAGGGGGAAAAGGAGGAGGAGGAGGAGGATGGAGGAGGAGGAGGAGGAGGAAGAGAGGAGGAGGAAGAGGAGGAGGAGGAGCCGATCTGCTTCGGAATCCCTATCTAGCTAGCCAAAGCCATCTGCTTACAGGGCACCGCAGAGCCTGGGATTGTCCAAAGGGCCTCAAACCATGAGAGGGAACGCAAGGCCTGGTGCCGCCGCTGATAGGAGCCAGAGGAAAACGCACAAAGGAAGTTCACACAAAAGGTTTTTGGTACCACCAACGGTGCAACGCATGTGCACACATGCGACTGGATCCCCAGCGATCCGAACCAGGGTTGATGCACGGCCGCGCTCTAGGATGCAGTTGAAATGTATGCTGTGGCAAGGCTGTCGGCGGCGACAAGATCCCAATATCCGAAAGAGCGTCTTCTACCGCTGCTGGCGGAAAACCGGGGGGGGTCACTACCGGTTCGAACCCCTCCCCCCCCCCCCCCTCCGGAAAAACCGGGGGGGGGTCACTACCGGTTCGAACCCTCCCCCCCCCCCCCCCCTGCTCATCATGAAAGGGGGGGGGGGGTCACTACCGGTTCGAACCCCTCCCCCCCCCTCCCCCCTCCGGATCCGGAAAACCGGGGGGGGTCACTACCGGTTCGAACCCCCCCCCCTCGAAAACCGAGTGGGGGTGCGGACAGTGGTGGGGACGGTGTTGGTGGGGACAGTGGTGAGGGGATAGCGGGACAGTGGTGGGGACAGTGGGACAGTGGGACAGTGGTGGGGACGGTAGTGGTGGGGACAGTGGTGGGGACAATGGTGGGAACAGGGGGGGACAGTGGACAGTGGTGGTGACGGTGGTGGTGGGGACAGTGGTGTGGGGACAATGGGAATGAGGTGGAAACAGTGGGACAGTGGAGGGTACAATGGTGGTGGGGACAGTGGTGAAGGCGGTGGCGAGGACGGCGGTGGGACAATGGGACAGAGGTACAGTGGGGACAGTGGTGGGGACAGTGGGGACAGTGGTGGGAACAGTGGGACAGCTCAGTGGGACAGCGGAGGAGTCAGTGGGACAGTGGGGACTGGGGATAGTCGGGCAGTGGTTGGGGCCGTGGAGACAGTGGGGAGAGTGGAACCGTGGTGGGAACAGTTCTGGGGACAGCGGGGACAGTGCGACAGTGGTGGGGCCACTGGTGGGGACAGTAGGGGCGGTGGTGGAACCAGGGGGACAGCGGTGGTGAGGACAGTGGTGCTGGGAACACCAGTGGGGGATGTGATGCGGACGGTGGTGGGGACCGGGAGTCGTTTGCTGGCGGTGAGTAGGGGGG